ATTTTGTATCATTTCTGGTTGGAAAAAATTGGTGTTATAGCCAATATTCACAAAGACTTTCTTTAAATTTGTATTTCACCTTCTGATAAAGACTATTTGTGGTTTTTTGTGGATTGGAGAAAATGGCCAACTGAAGCACTTTTGACATCACTGTGTAGTGTCTGGTGTGTCATGTAGCCCTTTATTGCTTAGAATTGTGATTCCACATCATTTGCAAAGTGTTTCAGACCGCAAAGATGTGAAATATCCAGAGAATGTGTTAAAATTATTAATGGAAAGTTTCTATGTGGATAACTATGTAACAAGTGCACAGAGCGAACAAGAATTAAAGCTTTTCATTAAAGTTGCAACCAATGTTATGGCTAAACAGAAATTTGACTTAAACGGCCAGGAATGTACAAATTTCGCTAATGAAATCACTCCCATTACAAATATGTTGGGGATACAGTGCTGTAAGTATGCAGATACGTAGGGTATCAATAAGACTAGTTTGAGGAAGCTTTGTGTAGAAAAGGTTATAAAGAAAATTATACTTTCTGCTGCTCATCAAATCTTCAATCCCATTGGTATGACTTGCCCAATTGCATTGTTCCCAAGACTATTATTGCAGAGAACTATTGAGATGAAGTTGAATTGAGAGGAAGAGGTTGACTCTAAAATTAACGCAGAATATCTGAAGTGGATGAGAAGTATTCTTTTTTGAGAAAAGGTGCACATGCCTCAATATTTGAAAATTGGTGATGACAATAAAAAATATTCTTACATTTGATGCAAGCATGTATGCCTATGTAGCAGTAGAGATTTTCTGAATTGAAAAGTGAATGTGTTAAAGTACAATTGTTAAGTGCAAAATACAGAGTTTCTCCAACCGGGAAGAAAAAAACAAGTGTTGTTAGAATAGGGTTATTAGCAGCCGCAATTTCTTTCTGCATTGCCTGTACAATTATGTGTGAGATTCCACATGGAGGAGAAGTTTACTTTAGGACGGACTCCACTACTATACTCACTTGAAAAGAGAAGAAGCATGGGGAACCTTTATTCAAAATTGAACATCTGAAAGACTCTGAAAGAACATCTGAAAGAACATCAGATTCTAAGTTCGAGGGAGAAATGGAGACATGTTCCAGAATCATTAAATTTTGCTGATCTTCCAAGCAGCACTTTCTTCCAAGCAGTTCTGCGAAGAAAATGTTACAGTGAAGATAGTGGGAGAGCCTTGATTGGTTATATTTATCTACTGAGAAATGATGTTTTTCAGATCTTGTGAATGAAGTTCTTAATAAATGGAAGAAAACTTGTTTCATCTTCAACTACCTGTTTAACTATTCAGATAAAAATGTAGATACTGATTGGTACTAACATTACTTTGCACAGTTTGAGAAAACTGTGCATATAATTTGCTGGACTTTAAGATATTTTTTGAAAATTGTAGGGGGAGGGGAATTAAGAAAACAAGGTCTTGATGCTAAGCTGAGAAAAGAGCAGTAATGATTATTTAAAGAAAAGCGTTCTTAGAGGAGAAAGATAAAAAAATTGGAAACACTAACAGTTCATAAAGATGATGATGATCTCATCAAATTTAGAAGAAAAATTGCCTATCAAGAAGACAGCCATTCTTTTACAAGAGCTGTGATTCTCCCTTCTCAAAACCAGGTTGTAAAATTTTCAATATTTTCTTTCCATAAAATGCATATGTAGGGACTCAAATGTTACTTAATCTTCTGAGGAAATGTTTCTGGATCTTAAATGGAAGAGAAATTGTGAGACTGATTCAACAGCAGAGATTCTGCTAGAGATTTCTTGTGAAATGACTAAGGGTGTTCAAGCTAAAATGCAAAGAATGGAAGTTTCTCATTCAAAAGTGTCTCAGGCATGGAGTAGTTAGGCCCTGCGAATCCATTACACAAACTGTAACAGCTCAATCTCGAAGAGGTTCCAAAGTGCCTGAAAGACTTGATTTGTAACACGATTGATATTTGTTAATTTGTGAAGTCTTTCAGCTCAAGGTGGGAGGATGTAGAAAACTGAATTTTAAATTTATATCGATGTAATGTTGTCAGTAACTCCATGTATATAATATTTGTAACTTTGTAATTCTGAGTCTGGCAACTGGAGAATGTATTCTTATGTTTTTGAACTGAACGGGAGAATTGTCTTCATATTCTTGGTTAGCTGTCTTAAAATATAAACGTTGTAAATTATTCATGTTACAAAGAATTAACAGAGTGGTGTGTAAATACATTTTACCTTATTTGAGTTTTGAGTATTAGGAATATCGATTTATAGTTGAGTTATAAAATCAGTATCCGGCAGTTGGTAATGGTTAATTCTTTATAAAACAATTCTATAGGCTTATATATATATATTATTATTATTTTAAGTGTGTTAATATTGTTCTAAGTTTGCATTTTATCAATGCAAATAATAAATCTAAGATTTGATAAATATTGATGAAGTTGAATTGAGATGAAGTTGAATTGAGAGGAAGAGGTTGACTCTAAAATTAACGCAGAATATCTGAAGTGGATGAGAAGTATTCTTTTTTGAGAAAAGGTGCACATGCCTCAATATTTGAAAATTGGTGATGACAATAAAAAATATTCTTACATTTGATGCAAGCATGTATGCCTATGTAGCAGTAGAGATTTTCTGAATTGAAAAGTGAATGTGTTAAAGTACAATTGTTAAGTGCAAAATACAGAGTTCTCCAACCGGGAAGAAAAAAACAAGTGTTGTTAGAATAGGGTTATTAGCAGCCGCAATTTCTTTCTGCATTGCCTGTACAATTATGTGTGAGATTCCACATGGAGGAGAAGTTTACTTTAGGACGGACTCCACTACTATACTCACTTGAAAAGAGAAGAAGCATGGGGAACCTTTATTCAAAATTGAACATCTGAAAGACTCTGAAAGAACATCTGAAAGAACATCAGATTCTAAGTTCGAGGGAGAAATGGAGACATGTTCCAGAATCATTAAATTTTGCTGATCTTCCAAGCAGCACTTTCTTCCAAGCAGTTCTGCGAAGAAAATGTTACAGTGAAGATAGTGGGAGAGCCTTGATTGGTTATATTTATCTACTGAGAAATGATGTTTTTCAGATCTTGTGAATGAAGTTCTTAATAAATGGAAGAAAACTTGTTTCATCTTCAACTACCTGTTTAAACTATTCAGATAAAAATGTAGATACTGATTGGTACTAACATTACTTTGCACACAGTTTGAGAAAACTGTGCATATAATTTGCTGGACTTTAAGATATTTTTTGAAAATTGTAGGGGGGAGGGGAATTAAGAAAACAAGGTCTTGATGCTAAGCTGAGAAAAGAGCAGTAATGATTATTTAAAGAAAAGCGTTCTTAGAGGAGAAAGATAAAAAAAATTGGAAACACTAACAGTTCATAAAGATGATGATGATCTCATCAAATTTAGAAGAAAAATTGCCTATCAAGAAGACAGCCATTCTTTTACAAGAGCTGTGATTCTCCCTTCTCAAAACCAGGTTGTAAAATTTTCAATATTTCTTTCCATAAAATGATATGTAGGGACTCAAATGTTACTTAATCTTCTGAGGAAATGTTTCTGGATCTTAAATGGAAGAGAAATTGTGAGACTGATTCAACAGCAGAGATTCTGCTAGAGATTTCTTGTGAAATGACTAAGGGTGTTCAAGCTAAAATGCAAAAGAATGGAAGTTTCTCATTCAAAAGTGTCTCAGGCATGGAGTAGTAGTTAGGCCCTGCGAATCCATTACACAAAACTGTAACAGCTCAATCTCGAAGAGGTTCCAAAGTGCCTGAAAGACTTGATTTGTAACACGATTGATATTTGTTAATTTGTGAAGTCTTTCAGCTCAAGGTGGGAGGATGTAGAAAACTGAATTTTAAATTTATATCGATGTAATGTTGTCAGTAACTCCATGTATATAATATTTGTAACTTTGTAATTCTGAGTCTGGCAACTGGAGAATGTATTCTTATGTTTTTGAACTGAACGGGAGGGGGAAGAATTGTCTTCATATTCTTGGTTAGCTGTCTTAAAATATTAAACGTTGTAAATTATTCATGTTACAAAGAATTAACAGAGTGGTGTGTAAATACATTTTACCTTATTTGAGTTTTGAGTATTAGGAATATCGATTTATAGTTGAGTTATAAAATCAGTATCCGGCAGTTGGTAATGGTTAATTCTTTATAAAACAATTCTATAGGCTTATATATATATATTATTATTATTTTAAGTGCTGTTAATATGTTCTAAGTTTGCATTTTATCAATGCAAATAATAAATCTAAGATTTGATAAATATTTATCAGAAAATGTTTCTCCTTGTTGTGCTATGAATTTCATTTTCAAGCTCTGCTTTAAGAGTTTTCATAGTTATTTATGGTATGGTTTTATTGCAAAATATAATCAAAGAAATAAATTTAAATACTAAAACTTTTCTTTTGCTGAAATCTCAATTTTAATTTGATTAAATTACATTACTAATACAAATCTTTGTTGAGAATTTTATAAGAGGAAATTCATAAAGTAAGTTGCTTGCCTTCCAGATATACTTTTTTTAGTTAGATCTATTATGAATCGTATTTATGCCAATAAATTTGCTTATTATTTTTCCAAGAATGTGTTTCTTTTCTTTGCCAAATTAATAAATTTAATATCACTTACAATAATAAAAATGAACTTAATATTTATAAAAATTTCAGTTATTTTTCCAGAAAATCTGATATGATAAAGATGCTGATATTTTTCTTCATGAAAGTTTAACCATACAATTTATAAAATTTTATTGATTAGCTATCTCTCTCTATATATATGCATTCTTCAGAAATGAACTATATATGGAAAAAAATATTTCAGAAAATGATATAGTTCTGTGCTCAACATGTTTCAAAAGAGAGGATTATTTTATTACTTAGGGCAGATAAAATTTATTTCTTCCTTGAGCATGTTAAACTTTATTTCTTATTACTGTTTTAACAATTTCCTTTTATTGTAGGAGAGAGAATTATGTGCCCCAAAAATACATCTCCAAGAAACTGTGGATGAGCTTAGTAAATTTAATGCTAGGAGAAAGTTAAAGGTATGTTTAATTTTTCTTCCATTTGCAATGTCAATTTTAAATTATGTATTACATTTTATGAGAAATGAATTTATTGGTTGTTTTATAAAAGTAATTTAGATCGGTATTGAAACGGCAATTGCACCAGAACTTTAATTACTCAAATTTTGATGATTCAAAATTTTATTTAGTTGAACTTAATATTTCTCATAAATTTCTCAGTGTGTTGAATTTCTTTCATCTGAAGTATTTAATATTTTTTTTTTTTAATGACGCTGAATGCATTGGTTTTGCTTTGCAATATCGGTAAACTGAAATCAAATTTCGAGAGCACAGAATTCATACTCAAAAGCTGCAGTACAAAGCAATTTGCATTTATATTGTTTTTTGGATCCTTTGAAAGCACCTGTTTCACATTGTTAGTATTAATAATATCTACTTTCAGTCAGAGCAGAGCTTAAATTGTGCTAAGAACCTACCAGAGCCCGGCTCAAGTACTTTCTCAGTTTTTGAGGTAGATTGTAATCATACATGAAGCACACCTGAGCTCTAAATAAAAGGGCTTTGCACTTGTTTTATGTAAGTGAAATATAATTTCGGCAAAAAAATTATTTTAATAATAAGTGTTCCTTAAAAGTCTATTTTAATTTATAAATGCATGCCTGTTATTCTCTTGGGAAGAAACATTTTGACAGAGGTTGAAATTTTTAAGGAAAGACCCCCCCTATATTTCAAAGACTTATTATCTAGGTAATGCAATGAATTTATGAAATCGGGTAAAACATTTCACTACTGAAAGTACTAAAAGTGACTACTTTTATTGTGTACGTTTGGCACTAGTGACTTTCCAGTACATATCTCTTACAGAATTAATGTAACCAAAACGGGAGACAAAAACTGTCATTTTTGCAGACCTTATGCTTGTTCTCATGTTGTTATTGGATTTTTCCCAAGCTGCATTCTGCTTATCAGCTAGAATTCTATAGGCAATGGCATGGCAGTCAGAAAGCTTTGGATTCTTTTCTCTGTGTCTTCGAAGCTACACTTCTCCGTTAAAATTTCTTTCCACACTCTCATACTGTTTCTAGCATTCTTTGTATCCTTATTAGTGACGCTTTATTATTTTCACCTTTTTTCGATTGGTGTACTGTAAAAAGAATGGTTTTTGTTTTATATTCAGGGCTTAAATTTAGATAGAGGCCAGCTGAGCTATTTCTTAGTTTTTGAATGAAGTTGTAAGTCTAGCCGGAAGTCCAATATTTTGTTTCTTTTATTTAAATATTTATAAGAAATTTAATACCTTATTAAATTTTTAATCATATCTTTATATTTGATTCAATTTTAATTTAATTATTAGTTATTTTTGTCCTTTCTTCATGATGGATGTCCTTTCTTCATGATTCTATAGGGCTCCAGCACAAAGTTAAACCGTGAGTACATGACAATTCAGCATTTGTAATAGATGTACGAAATTACTCTGATAAATTGTGCTAATTGAAAATTAAGGAAAGCTGAAATTAATTTCAAAAGTACTCTTTATATTTTTGAAAAATTTTACCTTATATGGTATAATGAAAATTTGTATGTAACTGGTATGGTTTGGTTCTTCAGTTTTGCAAATATAACTATTATACTATTAAAATATATAATCAGTTATTATAGAAATGGTTCGCAACACAGTATAAAATCTAAAATCTGGGAACCACCAATCCAATAAGTAATAAATATATAAATAAAATTAAAATAATAAGAAAAGTTGTCTTTGCCATGTACTAAATGGAGAATATAATACTCAGCAAAGGAAGGCAGGTGGGCCATAAATGCCATTTTTCTCTCCAGCAACTGAAAATTCGTGCAGGCATGTCACTTTCAAGCAGCTGCTGGCTAGGGAATGGCTCATGCTCTGGCCAAGCATAATGAATTGATTGACATACTGATGTTAGCCAGAATAACACTTTCAGCCATTGAGTGCTGAAAATACAGATATTGATAATAAATAATAAAATTTTTGCTGAAAACACAGATATTGATAATGAATAATAAAATTTGTGCTGAAAATACAGTTATTGATATATGCCTGATGTTCTCTAGGTAGATAAGAAAATGTTATTAGATAAAACATTATTACTTTGGTTCTGAGTGTTACATTTATTACCAACATATGATTAAAATATTTTCTTTGAAGATTTGAATGATAGCATCATTAAAGCATGAATTTTGTTTAAATATTCACATTATGTTTTTGCATAGTACTTCTGCTGTTGAGAAGAAAAACTTTATTATGAAATGGGAAAAAAAGTGTGAATACATATGTATTAGTGCAACCACAGTAATAGAAGTCGTCAAATATTCAGACTGTTCCAAACCATGCAAAATAATAATTCTTCCACTTTAACAAGCAATGTCATGATTTCCATATGTATTCTTTTTGTTGTATCCAAATTCTAACAGTTTTTATAGACTATTTTTTTTGTTTGTTTTAAGCTCAGCTTTAAAATATGCATTTATGAAATTTCTCTCTGAGAAAGAAACTGTGAGAAAATTTCTGCAGGAATGCTGTACTTTCCCACAAAATCAATCAAGGAAAAATTATTTTGAATGTGTTCTTAAAGCTATCATCAAGAAGTTTGCATCAAAACAAAAGAAACAAAACACCAGAACAAAAAGCACTTGCAGTGGGTTTACTGATTGATTTTCAGCATATATACCTAATTAAAAAAATAATATATATATATATATATATATATATATACACACACACACACACATATTGCTATTATAAATCATTGTTCTTTTTTGTGAAAAATGGCCTAACTGTGCGAATGTGGTTGCAGCAGTAGGTCATGAAAGGTGAAAATGTTTAACTTTGATTATTATCACTGTCAAGTGAATGTATCCCAACTAGATCTCCATGAGAATCGTGTTTCATGATGCTCTCTTTATCTTTCTTTACATAGGAATTTTTTAACATGAATTTACAGTTAAGAAATGAATTGCATTACTTAGGTTATTTCAACATTTCTTGTAGTTGGAATGATTTTTATCAGTAAACTGCAGAATGTGTGTCTTGCATTTCAAATATATTTTTATGCATATTTGCATAGAATCTGATGAAGATTTTTAGCACAAATCATTAAAAGTCTTGGTTAACTTAAATTTTTTATTACTTTTCTGCTGTCTTGAATTTTTGGTTTATATGATTATAGTCCAGCTGTATATTTTTAATTCAGGTGCATGCATTCAAAGCTGTTTTCTGCATTGATTTTTATTTCCATTTGCAATACAATTCTGTTTATCAAAACTAATTAGTGTATAGCAAATTAAAAAAAGTTTTCCAATAATCAATAATTAGTATTTTTTATATAAAATAATGAGATGACTCATTTTGTATTTAGTTTTGATGAACATTCTTAAAATACATTTCGCATAAAACTATATAAACTTCAAAAATTAATTTTTATTTGAATTTTTAGTTTGTCATTACAGTGCTTTATTAACTTTTGTTTTTATTATAATTACCTTTTGTAAACATATGAATTAATGTTCAATAATAAGTTAGTAATACATATGATGAAAATTAATTGTGATGTAATTTAAATGTATGAGTATTTATACAAAAGAGTACAACTTTTAAAGAACATGAAATTAGAAACTAACAATATTTCATAAATAACTATGCCTCAGTTTTTTAAATCAATTTTAGAATATTATCATCGTCAATGGTAATCAATTTTTTAAATGAACTATGAAAAAGTTTTAGAATTTGTTGAAACTTTTGGAATTTCAACTTACAGTGGTTTGTTTGTTTAAGAGACATTTTTTAATATAAAGACAATCTTAATTGTAATCCATCAGTGAACTTCGGTTACCTAAAAACCATCTTCGAGACTTATTTACCTGATTCTACCACACCCTACTTTATCAGGCCCTCCAGCGGCCAAGTAGTAAAGTCGCTGAATACTGGTAGTTCGGTCTGAAGTTCGAATCCCACAAATGGGTTGTCTGCATGGGCGTTTTCGTGGTTTTCCTCGTGGGTAAATATACACGAGCCAGTTTCCCTTAGAAAAATAGTCCTTGAGGCTTTGCCATAATTAAAAAAACTAATGATTTTAATATAGCATAGTCTGGTTAGATAAGATTTTCCTATATTTTAAAGGCAAGATTTCTTATAAAAACATTTTCATCTGTAGAATTTTAAAAAAGAGGCTGTTTGATGTTTTAAATTAAAATTTGAATTTTCTTAAGCATAAATTAATTTTTATAAAATTTTACATGGAACATAGAAGTGTGTTTTTGTACGTGTGCTTCAATATTTTTCCATGTACAAATATAATTAGCCAGATTTCCATTTGGTACTTAGTTTGTGTGCTTCTTCAAAAATTTAAAGAATTCCTAATTTTTTTTAAGCTGAAAGTACGGTGAACTTTCTTAAAGAATGTCCTCATTCCATATGATATTGATTTTCTGTGAAGGAGGTTTTCTTATAGAGGTGATGTTCAAAATTTATGTTTTTTGATGCTAGAAATACTTGGAACGTTCAAAGATAGTCACCTTACGAAAGTGATCTTGTTGGTAAGGTTCAATACACATTGAAGTTTAATTATCAGTTACTTTCTAATTATGTGGAGGTATAAAAATGCTGTAATTCATAGTTTTGGATATTTGTATTATAACAAAATAAATGTAAAAATACCTTTGAACTATAATTTTATTCATAAATTTGTAACTACATTAAGTGGTAAATGTTCTTACAGTAAAAATCAAGTGCTAGTATGCAATTTAAACTTTCCTTTTCTTTATGACTTTATGTGGCAGTAATATGAAATTCAGGACACTTAAGTTTTATATTTCTAAATCAAAATTTAATTTTAAATTAAAAGTACTGGAGCGTATGGAAAGCTGTGAAAAAATGAGATAAATAAAATAGTAGTAATGAATGGTAAGTAATGAGTAGTTAAAAATAAATATTCTCAGAGTTAAAAAAAGTAATTAAATTTATGACAAGTAGAGAAATAATGAATAAAAATATTGGCCTCATTGTAATCTGACTTGAATTACAATTTTACTCAAAAACTGAAGTGCAAGCCTAAATATGGGTGACCTGTTAACAATATATATTTTTTACAGTCATAGAGTATTTCATTTTCATAACAACAAATAATTTTTTCGCTGAGCATTATTCATAGCCATAGCTAAGGTTTTCAGCGCCCGAGGACAACTGAAGATTTTTGCGCTCTCTTCTGTATGCCAAGAATGAAAAATATTTCATTCTAAAATTTGGTAACATTAATTTGGCACCCCATGGATGCTGTGAATGGGAAAAGATGTTCCCTATTGCCCTACCCTAACTAAGCTACTGGCATTAATCAGTATGCAAATAATCCCTGCACATATTTGTTCTTAACTGTTATAATTCATGTTGATAATATGTCATTATTTTGAGTTAATGCTGCTTTATATATTATGTGTATTTTTTTATTTGCTTTTCAAGGGAGCTGTAATTGCTGCTATTTCAAGTCCAAAGTGGACAAATTTTTATAATGATCCTTCCATAGATAAAGTATCAGATTATGACCTTGAAGAAATAACATCAGCAGGTGTGTTTTTAGCTTTCTTTATTCATTAATATAATAACTATATTAGATTTTTTTTATAAAAACATTCACCTTAAAGCTGGAGTCTTCAAATTATCTGAACTTTGGAATACAATTAAAATTAAAATTATTTTTTATAGAGCTCTCTAGCACCTTCAAAAAAAGAAAAAGGGGAAAGCACTGAATATGCATCAATGTTGAGTAAATGTTAAGGAAAACATTATTTCATCTCAGTTTGACATACAAAAAAAGGCTTTAAATTACTGTATGTAACAATAAAACGCTTTAATAATAAATTACTTTAGATAAATTCCTTATCTTAGGTAGTGCTGCCATCTGTTGGTAGCTTTGAAAATGAAGATGTTACAAACAACTTCATAATTTGTACATGTTATTAAAGTTAATAGAATTTTAAAAGTAACTTTTTTCCCTAATTCTTTTTCTCTTTTGATTATTTTAATTCAACAGTTTTCAATATAAATTGTTATTAACTAAAACAGATTTCATACAGATTAAATGTCAGTATTTAGGATCAGAGAAGGTAATATTTCAATATTTATAACCATTTATTATAAAATTTTCTCTCCAAGAGATTGATTTTAATATGTCTGTTAATTACAATGAATTTTTCTTGTTTAGTTTTTTAACAAGTGATAAATTGCTGTTTCAGAATCTAGATTACTGCTAATTTTTCTCAGTATAAAATTTTGTCTGCATCAGTGTAATATTTATCTCAAAGTTATTCGTATGATTGCCTATTGCAGTTTTATAACATAACATAACAGCCTATTTTAAGAATATATAGAATTACGAATGGTGCATTCGTTTAAATTGTATCAAGTAAATAGGGAATTAGGCTGAAAATTTCTTTTGCACTATAAGAATTAAATGTGTACAAGTTATAGATTTTCATAATGAGTACTGTGTACTTAATAAGTAAATGTTAATTTGCTCCTTTCTTTCATTAAAATTTGTGAATACTTTGATAATTATGCATACACATTTTTAATATTATTATGCTTGTAAAATGTAAATGCTTGTAAATGCTTTCTAAGTAGACTAAATAACTATATTATATTTTATTTATTATTTTTATTTAATATTTTAAAATTTACTTCATTATAAATTGTTATATGTTTGTAAATATTTTATAATATGTATTTTCATAATTGACTAATGAAGTGTGAGTGAGGTTTATTGTTATTTCACAAAGGAGCAGTGTCCATGGTATTGGATAGTTTAGATGATATACACTGCCTGACAGAATGTCCACCACATGATCGTGAGTTTCTAATGTCTGTCCTGGATGATACACATCTTCATGCATTGTTAGATGTGAGTACTTATAACATCATGTATTTACTTTAAATGTTTAAAAATGTGTGAGGCGAAATGTGTTTTTCTTACGGCAGCATAGGAGTTTTGCAGAGATTTAGATTCATAGAAATGGTAAGAATTTTATATTCTGGTTATACTTTTTGAGGAAAAAGCATATGTGTAATAATTTAGGATGTGGAGAGAGAGAAGACACAAAGAATTTTTATCATGGCTGTATACATACAGAGAGGTAGATGGTGTTGGCATAAAAAAGTTGCAGATGGTACTGGTATAAAAAATGCATATTTTATAGTAAAACAATGAAACCTGCTGACAGACATAGCTATAGATTTAACACATGTTATTTTTGGACAAACTATTTACTAAGATACATTATCTGATTCGTATATCATTACGGGTGCAATATGCTCTCCCCCACTGTTTTTGAAGCTTAGCACATCTTAAAACAATGGATGATACAGAGAGGCATAAGTCACTACATGTTAGCTGCAGGCAAGCTGTTCAAAAAATTCTCACCAAATTTGTTACCTCAAGAACTATTTATTACTCGGAAATAACTATCTGTATCTCTTTAGTTATTTATGACTCTACAATAATTAAATAATTCCTTTACTCATACTCAAAATGAGAAAAACAAAAGTTACACTAACTCTCTAAAAAGAACAACATCATAGTATGTTGCCATTCTCTGAAACATAAACTGTTACAAAACATAGATAATAATAATACGAATAGATAATGAATAAAAACACCTATAGAGTAAAAAGAAAATGATTACATCTGCTTGAAGCTTGTGCAATATTACTCCGAAGCTGCAGTTACAAAAAAATATAAACAAAAATATTAGAGTCAAAATATTGTTCATCCTCCCACCTTGCAATATGAAATTCGGGATTGAGTATTGCAAAATAATAAAAAATTAAACATTGTTCTCACAAGTCCAATCGATGAGGAACTCTAATTGTCCTTCCTGATTTGGTTATCGTGGGCGATTTTAAATGGGTATAGATTATTCTATTTGTTTCTACAGGTACATCATCAATTGGAGATTGCTCTACAGAAATATTTTCGCATGGTTGACTTCCACTGAATTTCGATGGAAGTTCCTTGGCAGTCGATAATTCCAAAGGATAAAGATTTTGTACAACTCTTATGACTTCTCCATTTTGCACTTCTTATAAGAGGATGATCACTTGGCAAAATAGCAGGAGTTCTGAACTCAAATGTATCTTCTATTTGAAATATCGCTGTTTTAGTTCTGATGATCCCACAATCAATGAATGGATTAAGACTTAAAATCCATTTATCTTCTATTCCATTAAAGGACTCATTTTGTATTAAACGAATCAAGATATTCTCTGCTTCATTTAACTCAGATACAGTAAGTTCATCCTTTTTCTTGTTTTGATGTTTACAGTTGTAAACAAAACGACACATCCACGCTACCAGTCTGATTGTCTTACGATAACTTGAGAATCTAGTATCAACTATTTCACTAGCATTAAGATTTATTAAGGACGAAATAATCCTTTTCTTTTCCTCAAGAGCTATTTCTTCTTCATCAGCACTAAAATCTTCTTTTGGCCATTTTCAGGTGATAAATATAGCCATTTAGGTCCTTCCCACCATCTGGATTTAATTAAATAAGAAGCAGAGCATCCTCTACTGGGCAAATCAGCAGGATTCAGTGATCCTGGTACGTGCCTCCAGGATTCAATAGAAGTCAGTTGCTTTATTTCCTTAATTCTGTTGTGAACAAATACGTCCCATACTTCATTTTCTCTGTATCCAAGCTAGCACAGTAGACGAATCTGTCCAAAAACAAATATCATCAGCTTGACATTCAGGTATTATGCTGGATGCTAAACGTGCATATATTGTAGCTCCAAGAAGTTCCAATTGGGCTATTGTTGTCTTTTTCCTTCCGCTGGGTGCAACTCTCGCTTAGCTTGCACCAAATGAACTTGAACCGAATCTCTTGTTTGTACTCGAACAAAAGCCACAGCTGAATATGCAAGTTTACTCGCATCACTGAAGAAATGAAGTGAGATATTTTCAATCTCACGATCACAGTTTCATTCAAACATTTACAAAATTGTGATTTTGAATTTGAATCAACTTCTTAGTCCCAAGATAACTTAACTTCCCATAGGTGCTGAAGTAAAAGTTTCGGCACAAGAGTTACGGGGCAAGCTATTCCTAAAGGGTGAAATATTTTGTGTGTAGTAGCTAAAATCTCTCTTTTAGACAAAATTTCTGGTAGACTGTAGGTGATGTTAGTAATATTAAGGCAAAGGTAATCTCCACATCGTTCCCAAATCATTCCTAATACATTTGTGGTACTAGAGTTGTTATTTATTGGGTTATTTATTGGGTACTAGAGTTGTTAATTATTTGTTGGGTCACTATATTCCCAACCACGTAATTCTAGCTTTCTTGTAGCTAAAGTATCTGAAACAACTTGTATAAATTGTTGCAATTCTAAATCATTTTTCACACTCGCTAAAGAATTATCTACATAAAAGCTCTTCTTCAATTGCTCAATAATACCCACTTTATACTTTGGGTTTCCATTTAGTTGTTTCAAAGTGGAGTCTAGAAGATGGTGAATTACAGAAAATAGCAAGAAAGGGCTGCTTGTAATTCCAAATACTACCCTACAATGCCTGTAATACTTCAGTTTTCCATCAGTTCTATACCATAATCTTAGATAGTCTTTATCCTTAGGGTTGAGACTTATTTGTAAGAATGCTTTTCGTATATCTGCAGAAACTCCTATTCTGTTCATTCGGAATCTATGAAGAATTGACGGAATCAGTTCGATAAGGTTCTGACCTTTTTCCTAGACAATCATTGAGACTAGGGGATCCCTTTTGTTTGGCTGATTCGTGTAGTACTATTTTCTTTTACTACGTGTCGATGTGGTAGATAATGGCATGTTACATCAATTTCGCTTTTTGGTACTTCTTCTATGATGCCTTCTTGTTCCCATTCACTAAAAACTTCTCCATAAGCATCATAAAGTTTCTCATCTTTTAGTCGTTTTACTGTAGAAGCTAATCTCTTTACAGCTAAGTCATAGTTATCTTTTAATGGTAGATGGTTATCAAGCCATGGCAAGCTGACTTGAAAACGCCCCTCTTCGTTCACCTTTACAGTAGACAAGAAATGATCTCTTGCTTCTTCTTGAAGTTCCAGTTTATTTTTCTTCTCTGATGGGATCTAGAATTCCAAGTGAATCTAGAGACCATAGATCGGATATCAATATTTCCTTATTCAACATGGATGTGACGAGCAGTGCGGAATTGTCCGAGATCTCACGCATACCATTTTTCCCGAAAAGGAGTCCAACCAAGTTTTGTTTCTATAGCAGCAAGGCCTGAAGTAAGCAATTTAAATCCTCCGGTCATCAACTTGCCTGCAATGTCAGCGCCAATAAGTATTTCTATTGGTCCATTACTATCGTCGCATACGGATAATATTGTTCTCTTTAAGCTCTTGAATCCACTCGCCATTAGCAACTGGTGGTATACTTCCACAAATAATATCTTGGTTAAGAGCTTTGAAGTTACAATGATAAGTTCCATCCATTTTAGACAAGAACACTGTAAAAACATCGTGGTTTATGACATCAGTACATGACCTACCAAATAATGAATGGCTCAATCTTTCTTTAGATGTACTTTCAAATTTCATTTCATCTGCAGTGCTTTTTAAAATATAAGATCTCTGTGAAGCTGAATCGATAATAGCACGGGCCTGGCGCTCTCTATCTCGCCCTTTCAATGTAACCGTTAAAGTTTGCAAAAACACATTTGTTGTTCTCACCGAATTGGCGAGGGATTCATCTCGTTCAGGTACTGCATCCGTATTTTCATCCTTATTCGTGCTAACAGGAACTGGAGATTTTGATTCAGCTTGGATATTTCTACATAAAAGTATGTGATGTTTCTTCCCACAAATCACACATGATGTTCGTTTTTTACATTTAGCTATTACATGTTTTCTGTCTAAACATAAAAAGCAAACTGTGACTATTTAGAACTGCTTTTTGCCTTTCCTCAGACGTCATCTTTCTTGCTTTAACACAATCACCAGATGCATGATTTCCAGCACAAAAAATACATCCAGTTGAATTTTGTTCAGATATTGCTATTAGAGTAGAAGCAGAAGGTGTTTTGGAAAATTCTCCATGGTTTTTGAAACCAAAGTGTTTAGCATTCCCAGGCTTAGGGGTCTGATATTTAGTAAAAAGCACTGAGTAGCTATAGACACTCTCTCTTCACCTTCAATTTCATCGAGCAAAAATGAAAGCAAACCATCTAAATCCATGCGATGTGTTGACGCATTTTTCTCTTTTTGCTCACTACTTTCAGATTTTCTCTCTGACTGCGATTAATAACTCGGAATCTTTGCCATGCTCTTAATGTATCATCCGGCAATGACGATTCGACTAGAGGATATAACATCGCCGCATATTTATCTCTAGCAACATCCCAGAACTTCTAACGCTCTTAGTTTCGATTCTAAGTTATCATAAGTTTTCGTAATGAAAATTTCTGCTGAGAGTTTTTTAATAATACTAACGAAAGTAGATCTCTAACATAGACTTCTATAAGAAGGTCTTCTATCCCAAAACACGATTGCAGTTGTTCTAAAGCTTTACTATAACTTTCGCCACCGGGCGGAAAGCTTTTGATTAACTCTTCAGCAGATGACCCTTTTTCCATAGACTGCAATAAATATGCAAATTTATCATGATCATCTAAATTGGGATCATTATCGATCTTTTTAAACTGGCCCAAAAATCCTAACCAGCTTTTAATATTCCCATCGAAAATTGGAAGTTTAAGCTAGCATTTTGAGTTAAGCTTTCATTAACAACAGAACCATTTTCCTTTTCAGCTAAAAGCGAAACTAATTTGCTTTCTACTATTCTCCACTTATCAATATAGCATTCTGACTCATCAAACTCATTATTTATCACAGTTTCATCTTTTTCAATTTTTATCAATTCTTCTCTATAAGTCTGTTCTATTTCAATC